TATCCTTCATTCCACTCCCTCTTCTGGATTCACATCCACATCCACATCCATCCTGTCAATGTGCTGCTGCAAGCATTTTTTAATTATTTTCAGCAAAATTTTACTTATGTGTGATATTAATGATATTGCTTGATAATTTCTGGATTCTTTTGGATCATCTTTCTTTGGAATGGGCACAAATATGGATCTCTTCCAGTTGGTTGGCCAGGTAGCTGTCTTCCAAACTTCTTGACATAAACAAGTGAGTGCCTCCAGCACTGCATCCATTTGTTCAAACATCACAGTGAGTATCCCATCAACTCCTGAAGCCTTGTTTCTCACCAATGCCTTCAATGCTGCTTGGACTTCTCATTGGTTCTTGATCATATGCAACTTCCTGAAACAGTTTAATGTTGACAAATTATTTACAGTGACTCTGTGTATTTATCCCATCTCATTTTGTTTCCTGCATCACTAGATATTTTGCCCATAGAATCCTTCAAAATTGCAACTCAAGGCTTAAAATTTTCTTCAGTTTTTTTCAGCTTGTGAAGTGTTGATCATGTTCTTCCTCCTTTGATTTTCTAACTTAAGGTCTTTGCACTCCACTTTGTTATCTTGAGCTGCTCTTTGAAATCTTCCATCATCTTTTTCATCTTGTCATTTTTTCCATTTGCTTTAGCTACTGTCTATTCAAGTGCAAGTTTCAGAGTCTCTTCTAACTTCTATTTTAGTCTTTTCTGTCTTCTTAATGACCTTTTGCTTTCTTTATGTATGATGTTCTTGACACCATCACACAATGACTCAAGTCTATTCTTCAGATGGCTTCTAATGTCAGGTGGATAAACTCAAGGTCATATTTTGGCTCTCCTTATTTTAATTTTCTTCAGCTTCAACTTAAACTTGTATATAAGCAACTCATGTTCTGTTCCATAGTTAGCCTTTGGCCTAGTTCTGAGTGATAATATTGAGCTTCTCCATCATCTCTCTCCACAGATGTAGTCAATTTCATTCCTGTGTATTCTATCTGGTGAGGACCACATGTCTAGTTGCCATTTACGTTGTCAAAAAAAGATATTTGCAGTGAACAATTTGCTGGTCTTGCAAAATTCTATCCTACAATCTCCTGAGTAATTTCTATCACCAAGGCCACATTTCCCAATTGCTGATGTATCTTTGTTTCCAACTTTTGCCTTTCAATCACCAATGATAACCAATACACTTTGAATGGTCAGTTTTAGACTGCAGAAATTGGTAAAAGTCTTCAATTTCTTCATCTTTGGGTTTAATAGTTGGTGCATAAATTTGAATAATAATAGTATTAACTGGTCTTTCTTATAGAACAGTTGGATAGCCTATCATTGATAGCACTGTACTTCAGGATAGATCTTGAAATGTTCTTTTGACAATGAATGAGACACCATTCCTCTTCAATTTGTCATTTCTGGCATAGACGACTATGTGATTGTCTGATTCAAAATGGCCAATACCAATCCACATAAGTTCACTAATGCCTAGGATATCAATCTGAATGCACTCCATTTCATTTTTTACAACTTCCAATTTTCCTAGATTCATATTTTGTACATGTCACATTCCAATTATTAACAGATGTTTGCAGCTGTTTCTTCCCATTTTGAATTGTGCCACATCAACAAATGAAGACACCTTACTCCATCCACATCATTAAGGTTGACTCTGTTTATGGAGGCAGCTCTTCCTCACTTGTATTTCCAGTGCCTTCCAACCTGAGTGGCTCATCTTCCAGCCCTATATCAGAGAATATTTCCTTGTTATTTACAAGGTTTTCAGGGGCCAATTTTTCAGAAGTAGATCTGGTCACATCCTTCTTCCTTCTCTGTCTTAGTCTGGAAGCTCACTGAAACTTGTCCACCATGGGTGACCCTGCTAGTATTTGAAATAGCAGTTGTGTAGCTTCCAGCATCACTGCCACATGCAAGCCACCATTGTACAACAAACTGACAGACAAGGTGCTTATTCAATATTCCAATGGGGCTGCTACTGCTCCACACTTTGTAGGGATTCCACTTTTGCATCTGCCTTCTGGGGAAATACATTGGTCAATTAGTACTCTTACTTTGTGGTTTGCATGCACTGGTTTTCAACAACTTTGTCATTACTCAGATGTTTTATTTCCAAATTTGACCATTCATTCAACAAATGCCCACTGAGGCATTATGTTAGATGCTGGAGACTGCAAAAAAGACAGGCCCTGTCTTAACCCTCATGGGGTACAGAGTCTAGGAGAGAGGTTACATTCCAGTGACACTCATTATAATTCCACTATTGCCAAAATAAAATTCATTCCAAAAATTATGATAATTTATCTCAACAAAATATATTTAAAATTATGCAGAAGCTTTCAAAGGCATTTTTATAACCCTTCTGGCAATGACAGGCTACTGGAATGAGTGTATTATGTCAGAGAGCCAGAAATGTGAAGGGTATAATACTCTGGATCCATAAATTCTATTATGTTCACTAATCAATCACATTACTTTATGGTCACAATTCCTATTGCAAAGTCAGCATGCTAGCCTTTTCTGCTTCTCCAACATTGTTTTTAGTGTTTACAAGAGTGTTCTAGTTCCATTAAGCCTAACACTGACCTTGCAATAGGGTAGAAGGATCACAGATTAAGACCAAGAAGATGTGTGTTTTAGAGCCATCTTAACCATCTTCCAGCTATTTGATCTTCAGCCACACTTAACTTCTTTGACCCTAAGTTCTCCTGAAAAATGGGACGTTAGCTGCTCTGTCTATCTCACAGGGCTATAGAAAGGCTCACGTGTGATAAGGTCTATCGCAGTTTGAAAACTGCAATTCACCACATAAAATATTATTATTACTATATATGTATATTTTATTAGTCTTTAACTTAAGGCTTGTTTAACACTTTAGCTTATGATCATTTCTGGCAAGGGATAAAAGGAATTCTAGTTCTGTCTAATGACCCATGCCAGATACAAAGTTCTAGACTACTTAGGAGCAATGTCCTCAAAATAAGAAGCTTGGGAAATTCGTGGCAATGATGAATCACTGTATATCTTGGGAGGAGATGGTAAGGAAGCAGAGTGAGAGTGAAAATTAATATGCCTCTTGCAGACAGGCAGAGGTGATGGATGTGTTTTAGCTCTTTCCTTCTTTTTCCACATAAATTGAATGCTGTTGGTCACAATTCTTGTTCATCGACCAGACAGCACCAGGGGCATTTTGCTTGGGATGTGTTTAAAAGCTCTGGAAATCAGGGCCTCCTTTGGGTTTATGAAGTCATTGCTTGTGTCTATTCCTGCCCTTGCAGAAGCCTAACTGGGGGTGGTAGAAAGCCAAAACAAATGGAGAAAAAAAAGAAGTGTTCACTAAATTGCTTGGGTTTACTATTACTGTGCAAAACAAGTGAGCACATTTCTCCCTGTCTGTTTTTAATGATTAAAACCAAAAAGGAGATATTAAAAACCTCAAGGGTGTGGTGACCATGATAGCCCACCTTTGTCAGTAGTGTCAAAGCAAAACCTCAGGTATTTGCAAGCCAGCTGATGTCAAGTTGGTAACACGAAATAGCCCATGGCAGGAATATTTATGCCATGAAAAATGGCAAACACTACTAGTCAGGGGTTTTCTTTCTAGATAAGTTGTTAAACACTTACCAGCATATCACTGGCATCATTCCTCATCCAAAATCCAAAAAAATTTGGTTTTGAGAGACTCAAAATGTTGCCCTTCAGCCATGAAACACACTTATCATACAATTTTCCCCTTAGCACTTCATCATTAGGCATTGCTATATACTATAATGATCAGCTTAATTTATCTCTTAATTCATTAACTCAAGCATAAAATATAGCCAGCATTAAGTGTGCATACTAACAAACCTCTAGACTTTGAAAATTTCATTGTGTGGAAGAGAGAACGGAAATTTAAAATTTTGTAAGCACAGCTATCCATGGCACTTCTGATTATTAGAACTCTTTGGAAATAAATATGGCAATATATATTAAAAGTTATAAAAATATCAATACTCTTTGACTCAGTAATTCCACATCTGAGAAGCTATGTTATGTAAATAACCTTACATACGGAAAAGCTTATATTGGTAATGGTTACTGCAACTGTTAAAAATTGCAAACAACTTAAATATTGTTTAAGCTAAGTACAGCTACTTGATATACAGCTATTAGAAATATGCCAAGCTGCTACTTGCAGTGTTGTTATAGTAGTGGGATTAACATGATTTTTGTTTTACTTTTCTTCATTTCTAATTTTTTCTATAGTGCTCTTATGTTAGTTTTTGAGGGGGAAAAAAAAACCCTGCTTTTTTGTTTTTTAAATCCTTAAATCAGAGAGAAAAAGGTGTAAATTCCAGTATGTTAAGTTAATTAGTTAATTAATGTAAAACTTCTAAGGGAGCTCTGGTGGCGTAGTGCCTAAGGCATTTGACTGCTAACCAGAAGGCTGGCAGTTCAAATTCACTGTCCTCGGAAGGAAGACTGGGCAATCTACTTCCGTAGAGATACTGTCTTGGAAACCCAAAGAGGGGTCACTATGGGTTGAAATTGAGTCAACAGTAGTGAGTTTGGTTATTTTTTTTTTTGTAAGAGAAAGCTCATTAGAATTTTTCTTTTCTTTCTTTCTTTCTTTTTTTCCCCTTCAGCTGTAATTTTTTAAAAAAACCTTTTTATTGGGATTTAGGTGAAAGTTTACATACCAATTTGATTTTTCACTCAAAAATTCATACACATTTTTTTTTGTGTGACATTGACTGCAATTCCAACAATATAGCAGCACTCTTTCTACTTCATTAAATATTTTCATCATAAATCATTTCTACAGAGGAGCCCATTGGGTTGTGGCCTTGGACTTGGATGAAAACATTCACTCTAATAACACAGGGACAAGCATGTTTCAAGGGAGGAACAGAGAAAAAGGTGAATGGGGCTACTGTTGACACAGTGTTGTTTTGTTAAAATTTGTGGCCTCAATTCATTGTCCACAATACTTGCCTGAGGTGTGATTCCACACCAGAAATTAGAGTACAAACTGCGAGACTCCAGCATGGGGGCCACGATGGTTTTGTTTTCTGCAATCATTAGATTGAGGGTCTTTGGATTAGTCAGAAAATTGTCGACATCTATGAACTAGGAAAAGAAAAGGATAATGTCAGGTGAAAAGGTACTTTTCAGTATTGAGTTCAAAAATAAACATCCAGCAGTTCTGAAAGATTCACAAATTCATGAGATATCTATGTTCTTCCTACTGAAATCCATGCAGCTGAGTGGTTTTGAGAAAGTCACTACTCAGTCAAAACACATGTAGTCCAATATGAGGCACCCAGTAATGATCAGTGTTACCACATGGAGCATAGACTCAACTAGGATGCAACCTAGTTTAGTAGTTTAAATACAATGTATTAATGGTCCACAAACTCTTAAAGTCCATTCAACAAACACTCTAAATACAGATGGACAGATCTATTTAGGTTTTAGATAATAATGCCTGTTAGGCCTAAAAGAGATGCATTAGTGCTATTTCAATGTTACAAGTAGAAGGCTCATTGAAAGTACATTATATTAACCTATGCTAACCAATGTAGCTATTTCCTATTCCTAACAGCAGTCTGTATCAACACTGACTCATTTATAAGATAGTATAACACAGATTCTATATATAATAAATAATCAGAAGATTTCATTCTTATGACAATCTGTTCACTAAACATTTTTATGGTTTAGCTTTTATAAACTACTTGGCATTTAAACAGTTATTGGATGTTAAATATTGTCAATAACATTTTAAAACACTTATGAAATTATTTTTGTTGAAAATTTATGTGATAAATTTTGGGCTGATTTTTGTTGTGGTTGAGGGGCTGGAGAGAGACATGGGTCAAAATAGTTCTCTTTACAATTTGGCAACTCTAGTGACAGAGAGTTGATGTCCATAAATTTAATAAAACAATGTTGGCTTTGCTTTATTGGTGCTGAGAAAGATTTGCCAAAAGAATGAAATGAATTTTAAGGGGCAAAAATGAAGAACCTGGTTCTCATAAACGTGTAGGGGAAAAAATGGCCTTCTTTCACTTTTTAAAAGAGAAAAGGGGACTTTAATTCCTTGATACTTAGGAAGTTGCCATTTCCAATTGAGACAGGTACATCAAGGCCAAAAGCACACTACAACATTGACTCCTAACCATGAAATCCAGATTTTTGATGCCAATCTTAGGGAAATGACAGGATCTCTTCTTGGAGAGACTCTTTACTAGAGTCCAGCATAATTGGGAGTGACCATGAGGCCAAGGAAGAGATGCCATTCTCCAAATCTCCCAGGAGCACAAAGGAATGGGGTTTCACAGCTGCTACTCTAATTCATTTTTCATACAATTATATTTTCATATCCTCAAAATTCTTCCACAGTTATTCATACAATTTATATCTCTTACCTACAACATTCTCCTCCCATGAACTAAAACAACACAGATTTTTTTTAATACCTGTTATATGAAAGAGACCAAATGATCCAGGAGATTCTTTCCTTACTCACTGCAAATGTATATCAAGAATGGATCTGAGGCAAAATTTAGATATTCCAATATAAAGTTCCCAAACTTTTCCCTTGAATCTTTATTTAAAAAGGGGTGGTAATACCTACACAAAAGGTTGTTTGGATTACCTTCATGTTCCTAGTTCGTAGACACTTATTTGAACACACTCTAGGTAACAGCTGTCAAGAAATCAAACATCTGTTTTTACCAGAATGTAGTCTGACCATTTTTCCCTCGCAGTTCGAAGGGCTGCCTGCCGTAGTCTCATCACATGGGTAAACCGGGAGTTTGGCCAGTGCTTTGGTCCAATTTCATCAGGATAAGACCTAAAAGAGTATGATGATAATAATGACTGTTATTTGTTGAGTGCCTACATGTGCTGGGCTCTGTCCTAAATGTTGATATGGACTAACTCATTCAGTGCTCCAGCAAGCCTGGGAAGTAGATCCTATTGCTGTTATTATCATCACTATGTTACAGATAAGAAAGGAGAGCAAGGAGAGATGTAGTAGCTTGCTGCATTCTTTACACAAAGGTTTTTATTTGAGATGTTTCATTGTGTTCTAATATGAGTCTTATGAGGTAAGAACTACCCATTCCACAGATGAGGAAACAGGTATAGAGAGGTTAAGTCATTTGACTACTATTACACTCTTAGCAAGGGACACAGTCAGGATTTGAATCCAGGCAGTTTAACCCCCAAGCCTATGTTCCAAGACACTTTTTTAGATATCCTCCTGTCAAGTAAGTTTGGCAATGTTGTAGTGTAAAAATAAGAATTTCCCAGGAAAAACAAAGGTCAAATTTAATTGGTAATGTATCAGTAAAGGATTTCACAGAACCTAATACATTGATCGATTCCAGGTGAAGTGAAGTCATGTGTTATTGTTGTTGTTATGTGCCATTGAGTTGGCCCTGACTCATAGCGACCGCTCCTTGGGTTTCTGAGGTGGTATCACTACAGAAGTATATTGTCCAAACTTCCTTCCAAGGAGTGGCTGGTGGGTTTGAACCACTAGCCTTCTGGTTAACAGTCAAGTGCCTTAGCCACTATGCTACCAGATATAGAGCAGATAAATAATGTCTTTGGGAATCTCTATTTATCAACATCTACAAAATAGCCAAAACTATTTTAATGTCTGCATGGCCACATAGCCAAGTTGGTTTCAAAACACTTTTGAAAGCTCCCGACTGATCTGGACGCTGATATTGTCACAGTGGCCCTAACGGTCCAACACTGGTCACTACTTGAAGTTCTTGTAGCTATGGTAGATTTATTTGATTTAGTGCGTAGAAAACCACAAAAACAATGAAACCATAACTATACAAATAAAGTTACCAAAACTACATATTGCACAGGAATTGCTGGGATGTCTTCTCCAATTACAGTTTCAATGAAAATCAATAGAATTCCTATTTTTTGGATATATTGCCAAAAAACCTCATACCCTTCCCTAATATTTTTCACATTGACCTTGGCATATAATATATTCAGTCAAAAATCTGGCTATTAATAAAATTACCAGGTAGATACATAGTCTTTTTGTGCCATTTATAATTCAGCCAAATTCCATTTTAAGAAACTCCAAACAAGTATTTAGAGCCTTTTACAGTACTCAAACTTTGTTGTTCAGTTTTGCTTGATGTGCTAGGATTAGGAAAAAAAA